CTTGACATGATACGACCCTACCGATCAAGTTACTGTTACAGTGGAATTCTGTTATTATGATGTTCATTTTTTCACTGTAAAGTATCGTAATATCAAGGGCAACGTAATAAAAGTTCCCAATAAAAACCATAAAAAGCTTATTATTACATGTATAGTAATATAATATATTTATTTGTCTTTTAGTTCAGTCAGACAACCTCAAATAGAAAGATAAACTTGAAACTTTTGGAAGAACATGGCTACCAGCCTCACTCAGATAGGAACCAGGAAAAAGTGTTAGATTGGGACAACACCAAACTGGAGTTCTTCATCCAAAAACTGACAGCTGTCTCCAGAAGGATCTACATATGCCCCTCGCTGCTTCTGTTTGTGAATGGGTCCTACCACCCTGTTGGGGGTCTGTGGGACAAAGAGGCTAGGGGGGCCATACAGAGTTTTCCCATAACATCCTCAGGGAAAGCTAGCAAAGAAGATCGACGAAGTGTATGGAAACGAACCATTTGTGGAAGACGTTCATCAGAGGTTCTGTAAGGTTTGCAAATACAAGGAAAGTATGGGAGAAATTGGATTTGATTAAACAGTATCAGATGCAGTCGAATGCAAGAATTGCAAAAAGAGTTGTCACCCTTACTAAAAGAGAAACTTATTGCTGAACTTGAAAAATTGGACAAAAGCTTGAAAGAGAAGCTTTGCATCATGGAGGAAGATACTGAAGACAATGAAGATAGTGATGTAAAGGAATTGCTTGTGATGTTATGTAAAAAACACAATTTACTTCACAACATAGAAAATACAAGAGAATAATTCACATCTTGTTCAAGTTTGGATTCAAGTACCATGAAATTGCCCTAGCATATTCCCTCAATTTTTTGAATTACTTATATTAACACTTTTGTACAAGTGTTGTCAGAAATGTGTGAAAATACGAATTTGGATTACGAAAAAATTTGGGTCTACAGTGGAAAAAAATAGACCTCGATATGTGGGTAGTGTAATGTTAGCCAGTTCTTTAGAAGTCTCCAAAAAACATGTCCAAGAGATAAGACAACCTTTTAGAACAATCAGAACACACCATTTTTCACGAAATCCCGAAAAAGTGATTGATAATGTGACATTTCTTAAAGAGGCTGGATTTGATCCATATGTTATTCTAAACTGTCTCTTAATTACAAACTTTGACCATAATTCATTGCAGGAAGCATACGTTGATGCTGTGAAGGAATTTGATTCTTATTCTTTGAGTATTGACAGTTCCACTGCAGTGAGGATGAGTTTGCTTTGTCACATGTATCTGGAATTATCCAAGGAGCCAGAGAAACCTGTGGATCTGGATGAGATTGGTGGTGATGTGATAATATCCAAACCGGATCTGGATCTGCATCCGGATGAGGATGATGTGGAGGACGTGGACTATGGTCACCTTTATCTACAATACAGTCATTAAGACTATTATATATACCGTCCACATACTCTGTTTATTATAATTTATGAAAATCTGAGATGGATCTGCATCCAGTTGATATGAAAGACCTAGGCCTGTTCAACATAGCAAGCATTCCCAAACATTTTGGCGAGTACTAATGAACGTTCTCTCTGTTGAACAGGCCTCTGGTTTTAGGATAACTATAGTTACAATACAGTCAGTAGGACTATAATATATACCATTCACCTGCATTGTATTCCATTTATTTTTACAATTTACTGTGGTTTCATCAATTTTCGTTGGCATCAATTTGGATTTTGTAAAACAGACAGTTTCGAGGATATGTAATTTTGTGGACAAAAGCATTTCCTATACAAATGATTGTCAATTTTTGTAATACAATGAACATTTGAATTCGTTGATCTGCTCAACACAAAATCCACGAAAATTGGTGCTCAACGAATATTGATGAAACCACAGTATATATTCCCATCTTTTTTAAACACTTTATTAAATGTTTAATGTTGATATATTAATTCTGCAAAAATATGACTTTTTGCATTGCTGTAATTCATACAAATTTTGATTGTGCTAAATTATAATTGCAGCAAATGATCCATGTTCTATATTAAATAAATTTTGATATACAAAGCTGAGCTCACGTGTTGTTTAATTATTCAAATTAAGATTATTATAATTTAAATATATATCTATAACATTTTATAATTGATTACTGAGATAAATAATTTGTTGTTTCCATTATATTATGTAGATTTAGTAACACATACTAATTGGAAACAATTTTCTGCAATCTATTGTGTATTTGCCCTTGACTAGCCACATGCTAGCTATGACCTTTTCATCTCAAGATCAGTAGGATACATTTTTAGGGCCATAAGGAATAGGATTATGGTATTAAATTTCAAAAGAAAAACTCAAAGAAAACTGGTCATCATTTGAAAAATGCTATTTGCAATTTATGGATTAATCCCCTTGACTTTTTCTAATTCTAATAAAAAAGATATCTCCTTGAGGCCAATTTTAGATGTTTTTAGCTCACCTGAGCCAAAGGCTCAAGTGAGCTTTTCTGATCAAAATTTGTCCGTTGTCTGTCGTCGTCGTCGTAAACTTTTCACATTTCATCTTCTTCTTAAGAACCACTGGGCCAATTTCAAGGTGAAACTTGCCACAAAGTATTCTTAGGTGAAGGGGATTCAAATTTGTAAAAGTAAAGGGCCACGCCCACTTCCAAGGGGAGATAATTATAAATTAGTGAAAAATTAATGGCATTTAAAAAAAAATCTTCCTCTCAAGAACCACTGGGCCAAGAGAGCTGAAACTCATGTGTGAATCATCCTAAGGTAGTGTAGATTCAAGTTTGTTCAAATCATGACCCCTAGGGCTAGGGTGGGGCCAAAACGGCCGATCAAAATTTTACATATGAATATATTGGAAAAATCTTTAAAAATCTTCTTCTCAAGAACTACTGGGCCAGGAAAGATGACACACATGTGGAAGCATCCTCAGGTAGTGTATATTTAAGTTTGTTCAAACCATGTACCCCGGGGCTAGGGTGGGGCCAAAATGGCGGACCAAAGTTTTACATAGGAATATATTGGGAATATCTTAAAAAATCTTCTACCCAAGAACCACTAGGCCAGAAAGGATGAAACTTATGGGGAATCATTCTCAGGTAGTGAAGATTCAAGTTTGTTTAAATCATGACCCATGGGCATAGGGTGTGGCCACAATGGCCGATCAAATTTTTACATAGGAATATAAAGGAAAAATCTTTAAAAATCATCTTCTCAAGAACCACTGGGCAAGGAAAGATGAAACTCATATGGAAGCATCCTCAGGTAGTGTAGATTCAAATTTGTTCAAATCATGACCCTTGGGGTAGGGTGGGGCCAAAATGGCCATTCAAAACTTTACAAAGGAATATATAGGAAAAATCTTTAAAAATCTTCTTCTCAAGAACCACTGGGCAAGTAAAACTGAAACTTATATGGAAGCATCATCAGGTAGTGTCAATTCAATTTTGTTCAAATCATGACCCCTGGGGGTAGGGTGGGGCCAAAATGGCCAACCAAAGTTTTATATAGGAATACAAAAGGGAAACCTTTTAAAATCTTCTTTTCAAGTACTTCAAAGCCATGATTAGTGATATTTATATGGAATAATCCTCAGCTAGTGTAAATTCTAGTTTGTTCAAATCATGTCCCCATGGATCTTAAAATTCAAGCCTCCCCTCCCCCCCCCCCACCTCAGTAAACTTTCAGTTCTGATTTGATATGTGCTTTTTCCTAGCCGATGTTCTCTCAGGTGAGCCCTGTGGCCCCTGGGCCTCTTGTTAGATGAAGTGTTTAGATACAAAATGTCACTGCAAAAGCTCACAGGCCTTTAACAGAACTTTCAGAAACGAAAGTGCTCCAATCAGACAGAATGCATTAAATTATGAACTTGAACTTCTTTTTTTTTTTTAGATACAATATTAAGGTTTGCCTGTCAATCTTTGTCATTTTGTTTGTAGCAATTTCATTTCAAGACAGTATCTGAATAGGCTTTGCCATTTTCCGATGAAATTTCTACCACTACTCCCATGCCCTAAAGAAATTTCCAAATTCATTTTGAGGTCAAAAGGTGGATGAAAAATTATAAATTGCAAATAACATTTTCCAGATGATAGTTAATTTTCTATAGCTTTTTAAATAAAATCTATTATCACAACTCCCAATGACCTGATGGTTAACAGAAAATTTAAAATCTATTACGTTAAACACTTGGGAATGATAACAAAACAATTTCAGCATTTCATTTTTAATGAAATACACATGGTTATACAAGACATGAACACAAGAATGTTTTTTTTTTTAAAAAAGGATGACTGTCTTTGCACCCTTGTTATGCCCTTCGTAGATGCCTCTTCCACTATAACATTGTGGCCTGCTCTTTGAAGTTTATTTATCACATTAGTGATCCAAAGTTTTCACCTCTGGGGCAGCACAGTCTCTAAGCACACTGTATCTCAGGTTTGATGGCCGGGGTGGGGGTTTCCTCTTTAACGGGGGAAATTTCGGACCCGGTCAGAAGTTGAGCACTAAGTTTAAACAGTTCTTTGTCTGGCATAGGAGGATTGAAAGACTGGTCCAAGTTCCTGAAAGAAGAATCAGGATAGTTACTTTAAAGCACTCAAAAATACAGTATACATGTTCAAATGCCATTATTTTTAATTAATTACAAATAAATCAGTAAAAACCTGCAAATATTTACTGTATACAAGGTTTTTTTTTTGCAATTTAACACTTGCTAACAATTTTGCCCCACTTTAAAATTCGCCTATTCACAGTTCTGTTTAAGAAATTATACTGTGTTCTTAAAATTCCCCTTTTAAATTTTCCTACTTGTGACAAGGGCAGAAGGGGCAAAAATAAAATGGAGGCGAAAATTTCCCTGTATACAGTACATGTATAAGCATTCCAAATCTAAGTCAGTCCTCATTTCTAAGTTTATATGTTAGGTTCAATATGGAATACAATTTACCATTTATTTCTCGGACAAGCAATCTTACCGTGTCCACTTTGCAGAGTTTGCGTCGGATTTCCAGGTCCTTCCTGGCACACAGTGCCCTCCTGAAGTTACCAATGTTACGTAGGATGTTAGACTTAGAGGTCAGTGAAGCCGAGCCAGTCTGGACTTTTCTCAGGGAATCCTCTAACTTGAACTTAACCGGCTCTGAGGGTTTAACCTCTTGACCCTGTGACCCTGCAAATGACAAAAACATTATGTAAATCTGTAAACAACAGCAGATTTTCAGAATAGTGGTTTGCTCTATTTATAAGATCCTTCTGAGTTCCATTAAAATTAAGCATAAGTATTTTGAATATAATTAAGCAGAACTACAGCCACCTGCAAATACTTATTTCCACCAAATTTAATAGTCAGATATACAGTAAAATTCGGTTATAACAAAATCACAGGGACCTATAAAATGCTTTATCTATAATTTGTTATATCCATACATGTATAAGGAATATGTCACATTTATACAGCTGGGGATCCAAGATAACTTAGCTATATCTGTGAATTCGTAATATCCATGTTTGTACTAAATGAGTTTTACTAAATAGTAAATTAACTATAGCACAAAACACGCAGCTCTTTCTTTTAAGAGTACTAAGTGTTTTTCAGCTTTTAATCCTTGACATGTTTTATAAAAGTATTAAACAAACCTTCAGAGTTTTCCTCTCTTGTTTCTCTAATTCTTGCTGACAAGAATTTTGGATCTTTTGGAACAATTTGTCTCCAGCAAACTCCCGGGAAACTCCCAGCTTGGCGAAGATGGCCGGTGCCCTGAACCGCTGTAAAGCTGAACCGGTACTGGCTGGTTTAGGTTGAGAGGATTGAACCAGACTGGTCCAGTCAATGTCAACCATGTCCATAATACCTAAAGGAACAAAAAACAAAATTACAAATGGTGTATGTGTTTTTGATTGAGTGAAGGATTTGAAAGCAAACTCACATCATTTTACTTGAAAATGGCAAAATTTAAGTAGTTTTTGAAATACACGTAGATAAGAAGATTAGGTCCATTTTCCTTAACTAAGATCAAGGAAAAATTTTTTGGAGAAAATTGGACTTTCTTGGCATTTTTAAAACATAATCATGATATACATTGTTCTGTGAATGTATTTCTAATATCTTCTTACATTTTTTTGCCACAATATAGCACTGAATTTATTACTAAGATAAAATTTTGCATATCCTCTATCGGAAAACATTTAACAAGTTTTATTTCCTTTTATTAAACATAATCAACTTTTCTCATGAATTTTAGAGAAGATCAAAATAATGAAGTTTTCTGAATAATGTACAATAATTATAAGAAGAGACAAGAGGCCCACGGGCCTTATAGGTCACCTGAGTATCATGTAACAACTTTCCAGCGATTGTATTTGGTTCGTGTTTTAAGCCAAAAGCCATGAAATTCACGAATTTTGAAAGAGGCACCATTGCTTATCAAAGGGCAGATTTCAAAGCATTAATTTATTTTTAGTCAAAGTACCCCCTTGTAATCCCTGACCCAGCAGCCCTGAAATAATCTATTTTGAAAGAGGACCCTTTCTTCATTATAAGGCAAGCATTTTTTTTAATGTTTAGGTTTAGTTATGAACATGAGAACAAAAAAGTCCCGAAGGAAAAGGAAATGAATTTTTTTGATAAATCAATTATTAACATTTGTACATTCTTTTTTATGCTATCCTAATAGGCTCCTTACCACTGGACATGTAATGCTTAATTACAAATAGGAAAGTAGAACATTTAATTGCTTATTTCATCATCTGCCAGTTTGGGCCAGTTATATAAATTTTGTGATGTTGATCAAAATATATTTTAAAAAATCAATTCTTTAAAAGTCTTTCAATACATCTTCATTTTCTTAATATGTGTTAGGTGAATGTGTAGACATTGTTCTAAAATTTACTTGATGCCTAAAATTATAATTCCTATCATTAAAACAGACAGGAAGTATTGGGGAGTAGGGTCAACATTTTTTCAATTAAGTGTAAAATAATTTTTCTGGCTGATACAAATGATACTACATATATTTGTATATTCTTGCCTTTTAACAGTTGAATTTTTTTTTATTTCTTCACTTCAGGTTATTGTTTATTTCTTCCTCAAATGGACTTCACTTCTCCCATAGTTTTATTCATTACATCTGATGCATAAGCAACCATTTTCTGAAGAATGATGCTTAGACTGTAAGCTATAACAGAGACCTAAACAATGTCCCTGGCAATATGAAATAGCTACCACGGCCACGGGCAGTTTAAAACCTGGGGAGGAAAATAATTTACAGTTACTTTTGAAACGAATACATAATTATCTCACCAGCATGTCATTGTGCAACAAAGTCGTCAGCATTTAATTTGTCCTTTGAACGGGTGAAACGTTTTGAATGGCACTCTTATCGATGAATTTTACACTAAACCATGCTAAATTCTTGGATCTAGCTTTATTTACCCGCCGTTTCATCTAAAACCCGGAAGTGCGAGTTCGTAAATTTGAAATCTCGATCCCGACTCAAATTTGACATCGGAAAGAAAAAAATTGTTTTATTTTTTTCTAAAAGTTCAAAACCTTGAGCGGAGGGTTTGTAAAACTGAAAATAAAATAAATCCTGGCCTTAGATATGTAATTAGATCATTAGCATATTAACCAAGAGCAAAGGATAAGATGTTCAAAGAATTCATACATTTCACTATATAATCATTAGAGCCCCACCCTAAAACAAGAACCCCTGACCCTGGGGCCATAAAATTCACAATTTTGGTAGAGGCACTCTTGCTTATCATAATTATGTACTTAGTTAGTTTATTTAATACCCAGGAGCAGAGAAACAAGATTTTCAAAGAATTAATGTATTTTCACTATATAATCAATAGAGCCCCGCCCTAACACCAGAACCCCTGACCCTGGGGCCATAAAATTCACAATTTTGGTAGAGGCACTCTTGCTCATCATAACTATGTACTTAGTTGGTTTATTTAATACCCAGGAGCAGAGAAGAAGATTTTCAAAGAAATAATGCATTTTCACTACCTACTTATTTAGCCCCGCCCTAGCACTAGAACCCCTGACCCCAGGGCCATGAATTTCACAATTTTGGTAGAGGACTCATTGCTGATTACAATCATGCAAACAGTTTGACTGCTTGATGTCCAGGAGTAAAGAAGAAGATTTTTAAAGACTGCACTAATTTTAGTGGTTTTGGCCCCACCCCTCAGGCCCCAGGGGGGCAGGGATCATGAAATTCACAATTTTTGTTCCCCTTCACCCATAGATGCTTTGTACCAAATTTGGTTGAAATTGGTTCAGTGGTTGCAGAGAAGAAGCTGAAAATGTTCAAATGTTAACGCACGACGAACGACGCACGACGAACGACGACGGACGAAAACAGATAGCAATAGGTCACCTGAGTTTACTCAGGTGACCTAAAAGTAAGACTTACTTGGTTTCTTCTCCTCTTCTCCAATCACGCTGCCTTCCTCACTGGAAATCTCCTCCAATGACAGGTTATCATCAGAATCCTCATCCTCATCTGCAAATCATCATCATCATCACAATCATCATCATCGTAACAATCATCAATACAATCATCATCATGCAATTACTATCATCATCATCATAATCCAAATCATTATCACCTACATATCAAGGTTTTCATCACCAAAACAATGTAACAAAACATGTAAGTCAGTTTTTCTTTAATGTTCCAATTTATTGGTTTTCTTTTAATACTGCCCCAATGTTCACCATTCATTTGTTCTAATTCTGTACAAAAAATTAATGCTTGATATTTTTGATACAGTCTGATCTCTACCTTTAGTTTGTTTTTCCTCCTCTTTAGACTGTAGCTCGGGTTTACTCTCGGAGGTCTCACTTTTGCTTCTCTCTTTTTTCTCGAGTTTCAACTGAGCTAGTTCTAGCTCTACTGTAAAAACAAGGACTTCATGAACAAACATAACTATTGAATGAATGTACATCTGAATAGAAGTATTTAGCTTTTTATTTAAAATGACCTCAGTTTTAAAATTATCCTCTGACCTTGACCTCTCCCGACTGCTTTGTCTACTTGACGTCCGAATTTCAGGTGAGCGGTCTCTCCTGCTACGACTCTCTATTGAGCGATCCCTGCGGCTTCTGTCATTCTCTTGAGAACGGTCCCTCCTGCTGCGATCGTTTTCTGCTGACACGTCCCGTCTGCTGCGATCCACTGACGATCGTCTGCTGCGGTTATCTCGGTGGCTGCCTAGACTGCTGCGGCTGTGACTTCTGGGTCGCCGCGGCTGGAGGTGTTCTGGTAGAGCTGACGCAACCTGGAAATAAAGATAGAGCCCCTCAAAGAATACTGGTTTCTAAAAATTTTCTCTGAACAAGATCCTTACTCTTCATTTTCCCATCAAATTAAATATATGCAATGATAGAGTATTTTTAAAAAGACTTAAAGATTGACTCTCAAAAGCAAAGCTCTGTAAACATATCTAAAAGGCCCAATTTGTTTGATAGAAAAAATGCATCTATTTAGCAGTAATAGTAAACCTTTAAGAAAATTTTCTCATTTGGCAATTTACTACAGAAACCCACCTGTTCTTTCTCTTTCTCGGTCACCTCCCCCAGACCAGTTTTAGGGAGGTCCTCTGAATCTTCTGACCAATCGCTGAGCTTGTTATCTAGATGACTGCCCTGAGATTGCTTGCCAACTACAGAAACAGAAATTTACAATGATTTACTGGGCAAAATGAAGCAAGTCTTCAAATATATCTTAAACAGAGGCTGTTTTGGACAATTAGCATAAAAAGAAATGAGAAAATTGACTTGCCTGATTTGCGATCTTCCTCTCGGTTTTTGTCACCTTGTCTTCTGTCATCTGCATTATAAAAATTTTCAACATAAAATTGAGAAAAAATTTGCAAAACCTTGCATTTTGATATCTAGATACAAATATAATTTCTTATCATTATTGAATTAACTAGAAAACTGACCAGTCAGCAAGGGCCCCGCCATGAGGTAGAATTATGAGGGTGCAGTTTATAAAAATATTCAAAAATATATGAAGAATAAGAAACATCAAATGTATTCTTAAAATTTCAAGATAATTCCCAAATATGCAAAAACCTGTAAATAATATCCTTGTATTTACATATATAAGGCAGTAAACTGAGTAAAGAACAACTCAGCATTGAATGTATATTAAAACAATATAAATGAAGCTTAATTGTGTTATATATAAAAATATGCCAGCCTTCAATAAATGCAAATACATATCATGAAGGCTTGACCTTAACTTCAAAACAAACAGCAGTTGCAGACAAAGGTTTTCATTAATCTTAAAGTGACAGATACAGATAAGCCTTCTAAATTTTATGTAGAAGGCTAGATAATTAATCCCAAGGGATTATTATTCTCTCTCATCATTTTCTTCTAAATTTACAATAAGAACTTTTTCAGTAATGATGGAAAGAGGTTTTTATCCTACTACACTGAAAATTAATAATATTCTTAGATTAACTTTAAAAAAAAAATAAATAAAAAATAAAAGAAATACATTTACTTTAATCTATTTCTTGTTTTTATAATTCAATGAAATCAGAACTCATTGTGTAGGGTATTCCAACAAATATAAAGTATTTAACATTTAGCATTCCAAACTGACTTAACTTCAAACAAACTTCATATGCAGACAGAGGTGGTAATTAATCTCAATGTGACAGATAAAGATAATGCTTTGGATTTTCTTCAGGAGGAGAGCTAATCAATCCCAAGGGACTCATTGCAGCATTCAATTTACAATGGGAACATTTTAAGAAGTTATCTCTCTTGCCAATTCATTCTTATATAAAGTTAAGGAATCTACCCCACCACCCCAGCTCCAAACCAGAGGACATAGGAAAACAAACTTGGCATCAAAATATGTCTTTCTGCCTACTGAACTACCATACCAAATTTGAACTTAATTGGACTACCATAAAAAAACTTGCCATTTCAAAAAAAAAATATAAGATGTAATAGTATTGCTTTCCATTGTCAAGAAGCTACAGAATTGTTAATCTCCATAAAGAAATAAATTTCCTTACCATCTCGATTTGTTTTCCTTTTCTTCCTCCTGTCTCTGTCTTTCTCATCTCTGCCCTCAGGTGACCTTGACCTTTTGGACACTCTTGACCTTCTGTCTTCCTCCACAGAGAATGGCTGTAAAAATAAAATTTGCAGACATAAAAACATCATTATGACCTTAGAAAAGCAAATTTGTGATGTAACTATGAACCATTACTGCATATTTTACATTTGTTTTCTTACACTAGAGGCGTGTCTCTCCCTCCCCCCTGTTTTATTAGCGAGTACTTACACTAGAGGCGTGTCTCTCCCTCCCTCGTTTTATTAGTGAGTACTTACACTAGAGGCGTGTCTCTCCCTCCCCCCTGTTTTATTAGTGTGTACTTACACTAGAGGCGTGTCTCTCCCTCCCCCCTGTTTTATTAGCGAGTACTTACACTAGAGGCGTGTCTCTCCCTCCCCCCGTTTTATTAGTGAGTGTTTACACTAGAGGCGTGTCTCTCCCTCCCCCCTGTTTTATTAGTGAGTACTTACACTAGAGGCGTGTCTCTCCCTCCCCCCATTTTATTAGTGTGTACTTACACTAGCGGCGTGTCTCTCCCTCCCCCCCGTTTTATTAGCGAGTACTTACACTAGAGGCGTGTCTCTCCCTCCCCCCTGTTTTATTAGTGAGTACTTACACTAGAGGCGTGTCTCTCCCTCCCCCCCGTTTTATTAGTGAGTACTTACACTAGAGGCGTGTCTCTCCCTCCCCCCTGTTTTATTAGTGTGTACTTACACTAGAGGCCTGTCTCTCCCTCCCCCCTGTTTTATTAGCGAGTACTTACACTAGAGGCGTGTCTCTCCCTCCCCCCTGTTTTATTAGCGAGTACTTACACTAGAGGCCTGTCTCTCCCTCCCCCCTGTTTTATTAGTGAGTACTTACACTAGAGGCGTGTCTCTCCCTCCCCCCTGTTTTATTAGTGAGTACTTACACTAGAGGCGTGTCTTTTCCTACCCCCTGTTTTATTAGTGAGTACTTACACTAGAGGCGTGTCTCTCCCTCCCCCCTGTTTTATTAGCGAGTACTTACACTAGAGGCGTGTCTCTCCCTCCCCCTGTTTTATTAGCGAGTACTTACACTAGAGGCGTGTCTCTCCCTCCCCCCTGTTTCATTAGTGTGTACTTACACTAGAGGCATGTCTCCCCTCCCCCCTGTTTTATTAGTGAGTACTTACACTAGAGGCCTGTCTCTCCCTCCCCCCTGTTTTATTAGCGAGTACTTACACTAGAGGCATGTCTCTCCCTCCCCCCTGTTTTATTAGTGAGTACTTACACTAGAGGCGTGTCTCTCCCTCCCCCCGTTTTATTAGTGTGTACTTACACTAGAGGCGTGTCTCTCCCTCCCCCCTGTTTTATTAGCGAGTACTTACACTAGAGGCGTGTCTCTCCCTCCCCCCTGTTTTATTAGTGAGTACTTACACTAGAGGCGTGTCTCTCCCTCCCCCCTGTTTTAATAGTGAGTACTTACACTAGAGGCGTGTCTCTCCCTCCCCCTGTTTTATTAGTGAGTACTTACACTAGAGGCGTGTCTCTCCCTTCCCCCCGTTTTATTAGTGAGTACTTACACTAGAGGCGTGTCTCTCCCTCCCCCCTGTTTTATTAGCGAGTACTTACACTAGAGGCGTGTCTCTCCCTCCCCCCTGTTTTATTAGTGTGTACTTACACTAGAGGCCTGTCTCTCCCTCCCCCCTGTTTTATTAGTGAGTACTTACACTAGAGGCCTGTCTCTCCCTCCCCCCTGTTTTATTAGCGAGTACTTACACTAGAGGCATGTCTCTCCCTCCCCCGTTTTATTAGCGAGTACTTACACTAGAGGCGTGTCTCTCCCTCCCCCCTGTTTTATTAGCGAGTACTTACACTAGAGGCGTGTCTCTCCCTCCCCCCTGTTTTATTAGCGAGTACTTACACTAGAGGCGTGTCTCTCCCTCCCCCCTGTTTTATTAGCGAGTACTTACACTAGAGGCGTGTCTCTCCCTCCCCCCTGTTTTATTAGTGAGTACTTACACTAGAGGCGTGTCTTTACCTACCCCCTGTTTTATTAGTGTGTACTTACACTAGAGGCGTGTCTCTCCCTCCCCCCTGCTTTATTAGGGAGTACTTACACTAGAGGCGTGTCTCTCCCTCCCCCCTGTTTTATTAGCGAGTACTTACACTAGAGGCGTGTCTCTCCCTCCCCCCCGTTTTATTAGCGAGTACTTACACTAGAGGCGTGTCTCTCCCTCCCCCCTGTTTTATTAGTGAGTACTTACACTAGAGGCGTGTCTCTCCCTCCCCCCGTTTTATTAGTGTGTACTTACACTAGAGGCGTGTCTCTCCCTCCCCCCTGTTTATTAGTGAGTACTTACACTAGAGGCATGTCTCTTCCTCCCCCCGTTTTATTAGTGTGTACTTACACTAGAGGCGTGTCTCTCCCTCCCCCCCGTTTTATTAGTGTGTACTTACACTAGAGGCGTGTCTCTCCCTCCCCCCTGTTTTATTAGTGAGTACTTACACTACAGGCGTGTCTCTCCCTCCCCCCGTTTTATTAGTGTGTACTTACACTAGAGTCGTGTCTCTCCCTTCCCCCTGTTTTATTAGCGAGTACGTACACGAGAGGCGTGTCTCTCCCTCCCCCCTGTTTTATTAGCGAGTACTTTCACTTGAGGCGTGTCTCTCCCTCCCCCCTGTTTTATTAGCGTGTACTTACACTAGAGTCGTGTCTCTCCCTCCCCCCTGTTTTATTAGCGAGTACTTACACTAGAGGCCTGTCTCTCCCTCCCCCCTGTTTTATTAGTGAGTACTTACACTAGAGGCGTGTCTCTCCGTCCACCCTGTTTTATTAGTGAGTACTTACACTAGAGGCGTGTCTCTCCCTCCCCCCTGTTTTATTAGTGTGTACTTACACTAGAGGCGTGTCTCTCCGTCCACCCTGTTTTATCAGTGAGTACTTACACTAGAGGCGTGTCTCTCCCTCCCCCCTGTTTTATTAGTGTGTACTTACACTAGAGGCGTGTCTCTCCGTCCACCCTGTTTTATCAGTGAGTACTTACACTAGAGGCGTGTCTCTCTCTCCCCCTCCTGTCTGACTTTTCACTCCCCCTGGGCCATTCTCGGCCTCTTTTATCTTCCTCCTCCACCTCCTCTTTAGTGGGTGGCTTCTCTGCAGGAACAATGCTAGCCTTACTCCTACAACAAAGGAATTGATTCACAGTGGTATGAATTTTATTTTTTGTAAAATGTATGTTACAAGTAAACCCTCTTACCAAAAGTTGAATTCTTCATATTTTCTTCATTCCAGTAAATAATCAAAAGGGATTCACAGTGGTATGAATTTTATTTTTCATACAGTGCATGTTAAAAGCAGATCCTCTTACAGAAAGTTAAATTTCTCAACATTTCCTTAATTCCAGTAAATAATCAAAATATGGAAAGTCATAAGCTTTTATGACTCAAAAACTTACTTCATATTTGAGTTATGCAGGGGCAGGACAACCAATACCTTAGCTGCAATAATGTAGCCCTCTCCGAATTTTTTTATCTGATGTTTTCTGGAGAGGGCTACAATTCCATCGTATCTCCGTAATGATGCAAATATATTTTTTTAAATTCGGGCGAATGAAGGCAAAATAAATTATTTTTACATTCAACTTACTTCTTATAAGACGGAATTTTTATTCACTGTCAACAATATAGCCCTCTAAACTCGAAAACCATGTAAAATATATCTGCATGTTTACCAGCAGCAGCCATGACAGTTCATGCGTAACGTACTGAGACTTTGGCTTGAAATTTAGAACAACTATAAAAAGCAAAATGTCCCCAAAAAAAAAATTGGAGAGGGCTATATCATTGCAGCTACCAATACCTTTGTTTTGGACAAATAATCACAGCATTATTTTACAAAGTCATTTCTATTTTTTATTGATTTTTTAATATATCTGCAAATCCTGCTTTTTAAGCATTCTGGTACCAGTGGACTATTGGTGAGTACTATTTACCTGTGAGACAGAGCAGGGGAGATAATTTACCTGTGAGACAGAGCGGGGGAGACCTCCCTCTTGCTGCGGTGAGACTCTGTGGGAGACACCTCCCTGACCCTCTTTGTGGACGGCGTGGGGGATACAGCAGCTTCCCTCGTCTTTGGTGAGGGTGAAACTGACCGATCCTTGTTGTCATCATAGCCCCGTTTTCTGCAAGAAATTAGGTTACAATATCTACTACTCTTGGCCAACTCTTTTTTTTAAGCATATTTTAAAACTCTTATTCTCAAAATAAATTTTTAAAATCATATTTTGCAAGCTTTTTAAAACACTATAACATCTTAAATGAATCTTATACTGTGAAATCACAAATTTCTGTGGTGGTTTAATTTTCATTGTTTTCGAGGTATATAGAGATCCACGAATTCATGTCCATCAGGAAATGTTAAATGTTACATACAAAACTACTCAACAACTCTTTATCCACGAAATCAAATCCCCACAAACCAAGGGTTTTTACTCAAACCACGAAAATTTTACTCCACGAAAATATGTGATTTTACGGTTTTAGAATTTAACATCTTCTACGACTATAAGCCACCTACTCCATCCTTCCTGCTCAGTTAATCAACTGTAACTGCCCCGTTACATTTTACTGTTAACTCCACCCCCTCCCCCCTTATCTGATAATTACCGTAGTTTGGGGAATATAATACGCACTTTTTTCCTAAAATAAATTTCTGTGAGAAAGGGATGCATATTTTACATCACAATGGGATTTTGATAAGTTTTTCTTTCAGGTGAAACACGGCTATGTCATACGTACATACCGTAGTATTACTAAGAAACATATGCAACTTCTTTTGTTTATCGTCATAATTTAAACTTTAGATAGGTATTGTTGGAAGATATGCTTGTTAAAAATAACACTTTCATAATATTTTGATATTAAAATGACAAGAAAAAGCAAGTTGAAATTAACTTGAGCTCCATGTTTATCGTCTCCGTGTAGGCCGCCATTACCGATGCTATTTTAAGACGTTAACACATTCCTTTGTCACGTGCTTCCGTAATCATAGTACATATGCACCTTATCTGCCTGACAAAGTAATAAGTCATTTTTTTGATGAAATACAATAAAATAAAAATTTTATTTTAGTTTTTGAATAACTCAGTGAAAGTTCACTGCAACACAAACACCCCTCTATACGTCCCAATGAAAGGAAGCCAATGTTGTGACACACGTGCGCTGGTCAAATGATAATTACCTATCAACACCCCTCCAGGCAATTAATTGTCTACCGACTTCAAAGCAATGTTTTTACAGTTATAGCAATGATTATTTTCAGTCCTTTTAACATGTTTAATGTCTTTGATTATTTTCTTTGTTAAAAAGCGGGGGTCGGTTTGTAACCTTTCGTATGCATGAGCGTGTGTTGATTACGACACATTAAACAATTAAACACTTGTTAAATGTAATTTTACCTTATAACTTATCGAACCCTTGTTTAAATAATTGAGAGTTAACAAATTAAATATAAAGTATGCTAAAACTTAAGTGTTATCATTTACCGGTATTCGTGCTCTGAAGAAAATAAAATATCCGCGACGATTCAGAAAAGGAAAATCGTTACGTAGTCTTCTTAATTTTTAAAAATAATTTGATGTTTCAATTTCGTTTTTCAGCATGATTACCAGTAGAACCAAAATTAAATATAACAACTGTTAAAAATTTGTAACAATATCTCATGCTTTGTTGAAATAAAATTATTTCACCAAAGAATTATATGGTGACGTATATATTACGTTTTTTCAAATTCACCGTATGCTTAAAAAATAGATTCTGTTAACACTTTTACACAATATTATCTTGTGCTTTGTTGAAATCAATAAATAAATAAATAATTTTCTCCATATTGCCGCGATATGGAAATTGCAGATTAAGAAAAAAATATAAATGTATTTGAAAGAATGTGTGTTCTGTAAATTTTTGACACTTAATCTTCGCGCCGATTTTCGTTACAAATTACCACAATTTTCAAAGTTCAGAACATCGCTTGGTAAAATTTTCCCAAATTCCAGACGCAAAAACGGGGGTGCGTATTTTACATCAATGCGTATTATACTCAGCCAAATACGGTACCTGCTTTCCTTCCTTGGTTCTGCCTTCTCTTTCCTCTCTCTGTTATCCTCCGTTTTTTCCTCCTCTTTCGACTTTTCCTTGTGAGACTTCTTAGTTTTCTTATCTTTCTTTTTAGTCTTGAAGAAAACAGTTTTTGATGTATAAAACACACATTCTAATACTTTGAAATTATAAAATTTTAACTTCAAATTGATAAATGTAAGTAATTTTAAAATATTGAACAAATTATAAACTTTATCTAATAAAGTAAACTATACCGGTGTAGGATCTCTTCTCTCCCTTGATGTTTTATCTCTCCCCTGATTCTCGGCTTCTCTCCTCCCCCTCTCCTCTCCTTCCCCCCTCCGTCGATCACCCTCCTTATCTCCTGCTGGCCTCTCAGGTGACTCCTCCCACTTCTTGTCATGTGACCTCTCCCTCAGCTTATCAGGTGAGCCCTCAGCTGGCTTCTCAACTGACCCCTCTTTCCGTCTGGAGCACTTGTCCCTCTACTCTTCTCCTCCCCCTTCTCGTCTCTCCTCCCTTTTTGTATCCATCGACCTGTCCCTCTTTCTATCACCCCCCTCCTCCTTTCTTCTGTCTCCCTCCTCCCGGAACTTCTCTTTTGACTCCGCCCTCTGCTGATCATATGACCCCGCTTGCTGCCTGTCCGGTGATGTCTCCCTCCTGCGATCCCTAGAGTTCTCTCCTTTTCTGTCCTGGGACATGTCCTGTCTTCTGTCCGGTGACCCCCCTCTTCGCCTGTCATATTCTGCCCTGCCTGGGGGCTCACCTTTGTCTCGGTCTTGCCTGTCTGACCTTTCTTCCATATAGCGATCTCGCTTGGATCTGTCGTCATTTCTTCTATCATCACCTTTTCTGTCATACCGGCTGCTAAATATTAAAGTACATTACAAACTGAATAGATTTATATTGTTCCATGCCTTCTTTTTATTATAGTCAAACATCCTGATCTTAATCTCAATGGAGCGAGGAAAACAAGAGGCCCATGGGCCACAACGCTCACCTGAGCATCTTTGGTCCGCCATTTTGGCCCCAACCTACCCCAGGGGTCATGATTTGAACAAACTTGAATCTACACTACCTGAGGATGCTTCCACATAAATACGATCAATTATGGCTTGGCTATTCTTGAGAAGAAGATTTTTAAAGAATTTTCTTATATATTTCTATGTAACACTTTAGTCAGCCATTGTGGCCACGCCCTACCCCCCCGGGGGTCATGATTTGAACAAACTTGAATCTACACTACCTGAGGATGCTTCCATATAAATATGATGAATTATGGCTTGGCAATTCTTGAAAAGAAAATTTTTAAAGAATTTTCCTATATATTTCAATGTAAAACTTTGGTCGGCCATTTTGGCCCCAACCTACCCCTGGGGGTCATGATTCGAACAAACTTGAATCTACACTACCTGAGGATGCTTCCATGTAAATATGATCAATTATTGCTTTGCTATTCTTGAGAAGAAGATTTTTAAAGAATTTTCTTATACATTTTTATGTAAAACTTTGGTCCGCCTTTTGGCCCCAACCTACCCAGGGGTCATCATTTGAACAAACTTGAATCTACACTACCTGAGGATGCTTCCATGTAAATATGATCAATTATGGCTTGGCTATTCATGAGAAGAAGATTTTTAAAGAATTTCTTTATATATTTCTATGTAACACTTTAGTCAGCCATTGTGGCTCCAACCTATCCCCGGGGGTCATGATTTGAACAAACATCAATCTACACTACCTGAGGATGCTTCCACATAAATATGACCAATTATGGGCTTGTTCTTGAGAAGAAGATTTTTTAAGGAATTTTGCAATATATTTCTATGTAAAACTTTTTGTCGGCCATTGTGGCCACGCCCTACCACTGGTGGTCATGATTTGAACAAACTTGAATCTACACTACCTGAGGTTGCTTCCATATAAATATGATCAATTATGGCTTTGTTATTCTTGAGAAGAAGATTTTTAAAAATTTACTATATATTTCTATGTACAAACTTTGGTCGGCCATTTTGGCCCCGCCCTACCCCCGGGGTCATGATTTGAACAAACTTGAATCCATACTACCTAAGGATGCTTCCCTATAAGTTTCATCTTTCCTGGCACAGTGGTTCTTGAGAAGAAGATTTTCAAAGCATTTTTCTCACAAATGTATTAATTCCCAATTATCTCCCCTTTGAATGAGGGCGTGGCCCTTCATTTTTAAAAGTTGAAAATCCCATTCACCCAAGGATGCCTTGTGGCAAGTTTGGTTGAAATTGGCCAAAGGGGTTCTTGAGAAGAAGTTGAAAATGTGAAAAGTTTACAGACAGACAGACTGACAGCTAGACAGACAGACGGACAGACAGACAGACGGACGCCGGACAAAATGTGATCAGAAAAGCTCACTTGAGCCTTCGGCTCAGGTGAGCTAAAAACTTTAATGTGATAGTACTTGAAAACATGAAGTAACCCCTTCAAATTCCCTCACATTTAGACGAGCTCACTTTTGATCTCAGTTTCACTTTTACCAAAGGAATATATAGTGGGAAAGTGACACTCAAAGAATAATTGCTTGGGACTTCCAAATCACTTTCACATATCTATGGTATTTGAGATATTGGTTTCAGCCAATTCCAAAACTTTTTGAACTCTACATAGCCAAAAAATGTTGGGCATAATGACGATAAAACCATACCTTCTTCTTTGACATTTTTTATTGTTTGTGTCGTAAGTGCTTTATATAAAGCCGTCATCCTCCCTGGGGGCATGTATCCTCCTCTCCTACATGAAGATATCCCTAGTGTCTGGGCTTTAGAACTCCTCCCGAAAGTTTCTATACATGTATAGATACATTTACCGGAATTCGAGGTACATGTAGTCCGGTAAAATCAAATCTGGCAGCTTTTATGAATCAGAGCATTGTTTATTACAACTGTTAGAGGAAAATTGTGTACAATTTTTTTTAAAATAAAAAATCAGATTTTTTTTTTAAACGAAGTAAAAATGATTCTGCTAAATACACTTTGACGTTATCATCCAAAAGCATTAAAATAAGTTCTAGTCTCATGTGTTTTCCTTACATAATCTTCAGCAAGTAACATAGATTTTGCCATAAAGGAAATTTTTTTGAAATTCTAGCAATTTCATGAAATTATTTGCGCCTTAACGCAACAAGAGGCCCATGGGCCACATCGCTCACCTGAGAAGCTTTGACCATTCTGTTCTTTACCAGATTTCCCCCTTGTAATACATTATGTATCCCAACCCTACCCCACTGATCATAATTAAGACATTTTGAAATCAACTACCCCAGGATCCTTCCATGTGCAAATAAGTTTCAGCTTTTCTGGCCCAGTGGTTCTTGAGAAGATTTTCAAAGATTTTTCCTATATATTTTTATGTAAAACTTTGATCCCCCCATTGTGGCTACACCCTTCTCCTGGGGGTCATGATTTGAACAATTTAGAATCTACACTACCCAAGAATGCTTCCACATAAGTTTCAACTTTTCTGGCCCAGTGGTTCTTGAGAAGAAGATTTTCCAAGATTTTTCCTATATATTTCTATGTAAAACTTTGATTCCCCATTGTGGCCCCACCCTTCCCCCAGGGGTCATGATTTTTACAATTTAGAATCTACACTACCCCAGGATGCTTCCATATAAGTTTCAGCTTTCCTGGCCCAGTAGTTCTTGAGAAGAAGATTTTTAAGTATTTGTTCTATATATTTCTATGTAAAACTTGGATTTCCTATTGTGGCCCTGTCCAAACCCTGGGGGTCATGATTTTAACAATTTAATATCTACACTACCCGAGGATGCTTCCATATGAGTTTCAGCTTTTGAGGCCCAGTGGTTC